ACCAGTGTACCTCCTCTGGTCTAGCCAGTCTTGCAAGATCGAATTCGAGTCATGGTAGTGGGAGCGGGAAGGAAACCTTTAGGAACTAGAGGAAGATTGTATTTCTCATCATTGTTACATAGCACCCTGACTGGCTCCTCTTCTCCCTGAGACCCCTCTAAGAATGGTTTTTCTTGGAAACTCTTTCTTGACTTTTTAAATAATCATGGTCTCCAATGATACTTATCACTTTGTGGTTGACTGCCATCACAGTGTATAACATCCTGCAGGCCCATCCATGCCAGCAGGTGTGTCACAGGTGTGTCCCAGTTCTTTCACTTGCGTGGTATCCCCTCCCAATGTCATGGACGGGCACTCGGGCCACGTTTCCGTCTCGATTGTGTTTTCCATTAGCTCCAATCTGGGACTTGGTCTTCCTGTATCATTGTTACCACTCCTTAAACTTGGTGAAAGATCTGAGCCCCCACACCCCCCTACCCCAGAGAAAATGCCTAGGCTGACATGTAGGACTTTGTGGGTGATGGCAAAGGAATAACTGGCCTCTTGGTGTGTTTGCTTGACCCAGTAAACTCCGGGGACGGCATTGACTACAGCCAGCAGAAGAGGGAGAACATCGGGGACCTGATCCAGGAGACGCTGGAGGCCTTCGAGCGCTATGGAGGAGAAGATGCCTTCATCAATATCAAGTACATGGTCCCCACCTATGAGTCATGCTTGCTAAACTAGTGGTGAGGAAGCTGGCCTTTGAGGAAGGCATCCACTGGAGGCCTGGGATGAGTCTCTGCTGCTTTGGGCATCTCAGTATTTATGACTTCTACAGCTTTTTTTCCTACAGCTGCTAAGATAGTAGTTTCTGGACCATTGGACTATTAGCCCTATTGAGAGCAAGGCTTTCCGATACATAAATAGTGCCTGTTTCTTAGATTACAATAGTGTACTGTGCTTATTTGTTCCAAGAGAAGAATTGCTTCTTTATGCAGCTCGGACAGAAGCCGGAGTCTGAGTTCAACCTTGGCTTGTATAGACAATAAAACTTTAATTTTCATACGCAATTCAGCCCTTGCCGTGCTATGTCTGCCTGGCCTGCGGGTGATGTCAGAGGTTGTGAGGGAAGAGTCTGTGCTGGCCGCTTAATCGGTGTTTGTCAGGGAGAAGAAGCAGCCGTTCAGCCGGACCCCCGCGCAGCTGTGCAGAACCATTTGCTTTGACATTTCATAAAGCTGTTGAATCTATATTCCAGTGACACGTGGGCATTTGGACAAGCCCCAGATGCAATGCAGCTAGGATTCAGTGCTTTTAGCCCACCTAGGGCCTGATCTCACGGGTGCTGCCCAGTGCAAGTTTGGGTGGTGTGTCCCTTGAAGGTCGCCAGGGACAAGGTTACACATGCAATATGCCTTTGTACACATAGCCAGAGCTGGGTCCCTCTTGGGATGACTTGGGTGGGATGCAATTGACAAAACCACATCATTAATTTGGGGCTGGTAAGCATTTTTTTTACATGAATTATGGGCATCTAGATGATTTTACCCCTAGAAACAAATCAAAGTTTCGTATTTGTTTTTCTTGATGAGCCTTCCTCTCTATTGCCTACCGCCACTCCGTGAATCCGATCTGAGGGCAGCATTTTGGAATCTGGCTGAGACCAAAGAAAGAAAAAGAGACGGGGTGGGGGAGTGGGGGGGAGGTACAGGTGCCCAGATCCCAGAAAAGGTCTTCTCAGGGGTGTCAGGTGTTGTGTTCTGGTCATTGACACTCAGCCAGAAGGTATCCTGATGGTGGGTCACTGAACCCACACATCCGCGAAACACGGTGGAGCCTGAGGGAGGCCCTGCCCTGCCCTGCCTGCCTCCAGACGATGTTTCTGTGCAAAGTGAAGAGTCCAAACACACAGCCACACACGCAAGATGATGGCTGCTAAGGACTCAAGGCTCCGTTTCCAGAGGCAACCACCAAACGGAAAACTTACTCATTACCCACCCCCTTTAGCACCAGGGAAGTGCCGGGATCCAGCAACCAGGTAGCTACAGCCCTGTGTCCGAAGTCTTTTTAGGAAGCGCAGAGATGTGTGTGAAAGGTAAGTAAGACCCACGGGCTTCTCCCCTATGAACCAGCAGAGCTTGAAGATAAGGGCCGGGCAGGTTGTGCCTCCACAAGGTGTTATTCCAGGGCCTTCAGTCATTGCCCTCGCAGGGTGATGTCATACGAAAGGACCCCACAGTCCATGGCACTGTGGGTTCAAATGACCATACAGGCCACGGGTGCCTTTGCAGGTCAGTGGTGGCCTGGCTGCCGAAGCTGTGGTAGGACACCAAGACATGGGTCCATCCCCCCAGCCTGGGTCATGCATCCAGACACAGCCTCAGCCACTCCTGGTTTAGTGTCAGCATTTAGGTCCCTTGTCCAGCTCGGTCACTGGTGCCCAACTTGCCTTGGGCAGGCTCTGTCACTCCCCTGAGCCTCAGCTGCAACGAGAAGATGATACCTCCATGAAGGAATGTCAAAAGGGTAGTAGGTGTGAAGTGCCTACTGCTGTTCCCGGTACCAGTTGGCCTTCTCTTTCAAAAAGAAACAAGACTATAGATCTCTCGCTGCCATGGAGTCAGTGCTGACTCAGAGTGACCCCTGTGGGTTTCCCAGACTGTAACTTGTGTAACTGTTTACAGGAGTAGAAAGCCCAGTCTTTTTCCTGAAGAGCTGGTGATGGTTTTGAACTACCGACTACACCAATCCCAGCCCAATGCATAACCACAACACCACCAGAGCTCCTGATAGATACAGAGGTCGGATTTCACCAATTGCTTCTGCCTCGTGGCACCTCCATGTGTGTCCGAGTAGAACTATGCTGCAGACGGTTTTCAAGGGGCGGTGGTTTTTGTTTTTATGTTTTTAAGTAGATCATTTTTAAGTAGGTCTTTTTTCCAAGGACCCTCTGGGTTGACTTGAATCTCCAATCTTCTGGTTGGTATCTATATCCCCCAGGGGTTCCAGGGGTCGGTATAGCAAGACACGGGCAGGCAGATTCATAGATAGTTTAGATAGATAGATAGATAGATAGATAGATAGATAGATAGATAGATAGATAGATAGATAGATGTAGGGAGGGAGGGAGATGAGTGGGAGGGCAGATGGGTAGGTGGATGGACAGACAAGTAGATAGAGGATAGATTTGTTGATAGATGGATGGATGGATAGATATGATAGATGATAGATAGATAGATAGATAGATAGATAGATAGATAGATAGATAGATAGATAGATGACAAAGATGACAGGCAGGTAGGCAAGTAGATGGATGGGCAGATGGATGGATGGATGGATGGATGGATGGATGGATGGATAGACAAGTATATAGCTAGATTCATAGATACACAGATAAGGAGTTACATACATACATATACATACATACATGGGTGGATGGATACATAGATAGAAACGTCAACGGAAGCACTGATAGAAGCACAGCTACATGGGTGAATTGGACGACCGTCCACCCTAGCAAAGCAACATAAACAGAGAAACACTTCAGACAGTAGGGTGCTTTGTGCCTAGCAGCGATATGTTATTTGTCATGAGGAGACATTCTTCAGAATCCCAAAGCAGGTGGGTAGACAGCCCCATGTCTCTGGAGAGTAAGAAGAAACACACACTTTGTCCTGGTGCCCTGTCTCCTGACGTCAGCCACCTCCAGGCTTGCCTTCCATTCCCTCAGACCCTTCCCACGAATGGCAGAGGGCCAGGCATGCTGCTCCTAGATCTGGGGAAGGCGGTGGCTTCCTCCTCTGCCACATTCCACACGGGCACTTTCTTTCCAAGGCCTCTGCGGGACGGAAAGGCTGACATGTGCCCTCCCAAAATATGTGCTGTCGGTGCCTTTGGTTATAAGCCCACTTGCCAACGGGTGGTCGGTGAAGCAGGTTTCATGTAAGGCGCATCCTCGCTCAGTCTCTTTTGAGATGTGAGATCAAACAAGGGGACAAAGGCGAGACAGATTCTGCGCCACACAGAGACCGACCACCATGGACCCTGGGAGTAGACTCAGAAGCTAAAGAGACAAGAACGTCCCCCACCCCCTTGACAGCAGAGAAAAAGCCCTGCCTGAGAGTTGGTGTTGCGTTCGAACATCTAGCCCCCAAGACTGAATTTCTGTTGGTGAAAGCCTATGGTGTTTCTGTTAAAGCAGCTCCCAAAACGGATGTGGAAATGTGAGCTTTGGGTGGTTGGCAAGGGGGGTGTGTTTGCTTTTCTGTAACTGAGTTGTGGTATAGCTCCAAGACTCTCTCAAGTGTCCATCAGCACGGGCAGCTATACGAGAGGCCCCCAGCAGAGGAGACAAAGGGGGAGTCTGTCCTTTCCCAGCAATAGCTGAAGGTTGGAAACCCTAAATCGGAAGCTCCTCTTCCAAAGCCAAGTACAAAGACAGTTGTTGTCAGCCTTGTGCAAGGTGCACACCTGCAGAGGGGCCCCAGCAGGGACAGGGCCTGTGAGCAGGCCCACGAGAACTCTCAATGTGGAGGTGGCCAGCCTGCTCTGGGGACACAGAAGGTGCCAGTGCATGTGCAGCCCACAGGGAGGGCCCAGTTCTAGGGACATCTGTGATATCTGTGGGCAGGGCTCCCCAGGGTCCTCACCTCCATGGGGCACCTCCTCGCTCTTGGTGACTTGCCTTTCCCACCACCCGGGAAGAATGACACCCAATTCTTATGGCCCAACTGTGCTCTGCTGATGGCTGCCACAAGGCCTAAGGTTCAAACCCACCAGCTGCTGCTCCAGAGAAAGAGGAGGCTGTTTGCGCTTGTAAAGATTTACAGTCATGGAACCGCCCTCAAAAGCAGGTCAACTCTTTTCTGCAGGGTCCCTGTGTGTCAGAATGGACTCGGTGTCTGTCGGTGGGTTGGGTTTAGGTGTGATGACAGTGGGGGAGTGGTAGTGGTGATCTGAGAAACTCCAGGAGGGAAAGAATTGCTGAGGGTTTGCTCCACTGTAGAATTTTCTTTCCAAAAGGAAAGATTCCTAACCAAACAAAGAAGCCCCCGGAGCCTGTCTGGTTACGTACCCGAGACCTCGGGAAAGTGGACCCTGTGGGTGGCTGAGAGTACCGTAACTGCAGATGCTGGCAGGCCCTAGCTTTCCACCGGTTTCAATGCCCCCTGCATCTCAAACTCTCGTAAATGTTGTGAGGTGTTTCCCACTAGCCCTTTAAAAGCAGAGGGCGGGAGGTTGAAAGACCAATTTCTCTTTTAGAGAACCAACATCCTCAGGAAGCTGGCCCCCAAACAGTGTTTGCGATGGAAACTGCCCCACCTGATGAGATGTCAGTAGAGTCAGAGGGCCACAGGTACTTTTCAAAGGCCCTCAACCCTACCCCACTCCGCTAGTGAAAGCAGCCCTTGTCTGACTACCGACCACTTGACCAATGTTTGCCCGAGTGCTAAGGAGCATTCGCTTCCAGCAAGCAGAAAATAACTTTACCCAGATTCACCATGCCTGCTGAGTCCCCGGGGCCCAGACTCCAGGCTCTCTTCCCCTGGGCATCAGCAGGAGCGAGCAGGGGCCGTAACTAAGGAAGCAGCATGGCCCTCCCCTAGAGGGGATGCTCACCCAGCACAGACTCTAGAAGAAGGCCGTTCCCAACCTCCCTTGGCCTCATGGCTTCAAGGCTCATGGGTCAGAGGTGAGCTGGCCTGGCTGCTTGCTCTCTGCGCACTGGTCCCTGTGCTTCTTCAGCCTGTTAGTGGTCAGAGAGGTCGGCCTCCCATGTTGGTAGAGGGAAAGGCCCTCATGGGGCACCACCAGGCCCCTCTGCTGGGAGCATTTTTGCAAGCCTCGTTCTCTGAGCTTTCCCGCATAAGAAGCTGCAAGCCTCCTCTCCGCGGTAAAAGCCAACGCAAGGGCCCTGCAGTTTATCCAGAGCCCTTCCCACCGGGAAAATACATCCCGGAGTGGAGTCTGACTCTAGAAACACCTTATGTTGTCGCTGTCTTGGCGTGGCCCAGCGTCTGTGCGTGTGTCAGTGTGTGCACGCTGCGGGGAAGGCCAAGGCACTCGGCAG